GGAGGTAGGAGAGAGGAGTTTTTAAAAATACCTAAAATGCCCTCTAATTATAAATTTAACTTAAATTACCAAAATTATTAATTTCCTAATTTATCCGTTGATATGTGGTTGAGATTGGTTCTCACAGTTACCACAAACTAATCAGTTCTCCCTTGAATAGGCCCCTATATATATATATATATATATATATATATTTTATATTTATAAACTTAATAGTATAAAAATAATGATAACTTCATAATAGCTTCCATAGTGGTGTGTGTTGAAAGATTTGTCAAACGAAAGACCTCGTTTTTTAAGTTCTTCATTGTTAGATTGAAGTTTTTGGTTTAAGTAAGTTGCTTTTTAAAGATCTTTCATATCGTTTCATTTTTAATCCATATAATTTTATGAAAGTTTTGTACAATATTTGGAGGTTTCTAATGGTGAGATAATATTTGTATTTACTAATATATTTAAATTCGATAAAAATAAATAATTATGAATTAATTAATGTATTAAAATAAAAATATTGTGAAGAGTCTGATTTTTTGAAACCCACTTTTTAATTTTGGTTTTTGTACGATTTGATGGTTCTTCTTTACTGGAGATTTTTTATGGGTTTTGATGGTTCTTCTTTACTGGTTTGTCCAAGCTATTGGAGATTTTTGATGGGTTTTGGCTTCTATTTGATTTTAGTCAACCCAACTTAATAACCTACAAATGTAACACAATTTTGATTTTGTCGAAAGCTTTTGCTGCTAATAGGTTAAGATCATGTATGTTTCTTTGTTGTAGTTTACAACTATTTCATACCACATGCCAGGTGTTTGATGATTTGCCCAAATGAAAGCTTGGATGTTTACGGAATTACGATAAACAAAGGTTTATATATGGTATCTATAGGTGCATTGCATGATACAAGACATATAGATACATTGAAAAGAATGAAGAAATTTCAAACAAACCTCTTTGTCATGGTTTTGGCTTTCATTCAAACACAACTCAACAGCTAACCGGAGGCTTGTTGTATAATTTATTTTGCTCAATAGGTCTGGGACTATTCCATTCTTTAACAAAATACGCAAGAGCATGCCTGTATATTAAATCGCCCTTGATACATTTACGAGTTAGGTTTGGGTGTATATGAAATACTTACCCAATTCTATTCCTTGCTCTTCATCTTCCTCGGCTGCTTCTTCCACACCAGTCCCATTTTCCATACAGTTTGGTAATGCTATCTCTTGAAAGGAAGTAGTAGATTAGGTGAAAGCAAATGAAAAGTTGTATGGTGGAAACAAATTCACATTCCGTTTCTTCATGTTATCTCTGTCTGTATTATGGCATTCTTGATCTCATGATTTCTCATTGTCCCAATAATTCATATTTCATTGTGTGGTGGAAACAAGTGTTGGGAACATTTTGATTGCATATCTTGTGTTGGAAACATTTTCCCCTCAAAACCCTAGAAATCGATCGATCATATTGCTGAATTTGTGTCTTTGCTTCTGCACCAGAGGGGAAAAGTGAGAAAGGGGAAAGAAAAGAGGGACAGAGTCTCGTGAAAGGTGAAAGGTGCTAGTGGGGGAGGAGACGGGGTTTCACCGGAGTTTGGCTTGGGGTGGGAAGCTGATAGAGACAATAACGTGATGTTGGGGGTGAGGGAACATTGGTGATGGAGGTTGAAGATGGAGATGAGGGCCGGTATGGAGATGGTGTGGCTAGGCATGAGAATGAGCTTCAACCCGTCGAGGAACCCAGTCCAATCTTCCCAGTCAGGAACGAGGATTCCTCACTAAACCGGGGACAAAGGCAGGGACAAAAATCTCCATTTGTCTCAAACCGGAGATGGGGATGGTATCGCACTCCTCATCTCACCCCACATCGCTCCCGTTATATATCAATTAGAAAAAGGGTAAACTCTAATTTTATGTCAATCCAAAAAATCGAAGACACAAGACAAATATCACAAATTGACATTATTACGAGTACAAATGTTTTAACACGGTTATGGATATGCAAATTCAAGAGTTTGGTGACAGATTTGACGAGGTAAGTTCTGAATTGCTCACTTGTATGGCCGCTTTGGATCCTCATTACTCATTTTGTGACTTTGACCCATCAAAATTACTAAGGTTGACAGAGTTTTATCCTGATGATTTTAGCAATGACGAAAGAACTACTCTTGAGCACCAACTTCAACTATACATTGACAATGTCCAACATGATGAATTATTTGCTAATTTGAAAGGTATATCCGAGCTCGGTAGAGTGATGATTGAAACAAGGAAACATCTTGTGTTTCCTTTGGTTTATCGATTATTGAAGCTTGCATTGGTTTTGCCTGTTGCAACCGCAACAGTCGAGAGATGTTTTTCTGTAATGAAGCTTGTGAAGCCAGCTTTGCGCAATCGAATTTGTGACGATTTTTTGAATGCGTGTGTCATTTGTGCCGTAGAAAAAGAAATACTTGCTAAGGTTACAAATCAAGATGTAATGACTCGTTTTCAAATGATGAAAACTCGTAGAAATCAACTTATGTAATCACGTATTATTAATTATAATGATTGATGTGTTGGTATATTGTTAGTTTAAGTGACCCCAGTGTATAAAATTCCTGGATCCGCCACTGCCCCCACCGCTCCCTCTTTGACCAGCAGACCACTCGCCTCCCATCCGACCTTCACCTTCCTTCCTCCCCGTCCGGCAACTTGCAACCAAAAATCAGAAAACCATCACACCCCATCCAACCACCACCTGCACCGTATCCCATCCCGCCACATGTTCAGATTTCACATCCAACCTCATCGGAGCCACCTGCAACAATGGCCGAATCTACAAGCTCTCCCTCCAAAACCTCTCCCTCCAAAACCTCTCCCTCCGTGGCCATCTCAACTTGTATGTGTGGCTGAGAGCGGAGCAGAGGACCGCGCCAGAGCAGAGGACGGCGGAATAGGAAGTGAAGATTACTCGATCGGTGCCTGATTACTAAATCAAAATATTCAAAAAAATTTGCTGTAAAATTTGTAGGTTTTTGCTTTTTTTTAATCTTAAATGTGATGATTTTATTGTATAAATTTGATGATCTTGAAACACAAATGGGATGAGGTTGGATGTGAAATGGAAATCGGTCCCTGTAGTTTGATAGTTATTACGAAAATAAGAAAACAAATGAAAAAGACAAAAATGTCCTTAAGTTAACCGACGTTTTTAACGAAGTTAATAATCAAGGACCATTTTCAAAGCAAAATGCAGATTATGATGATGATTTCTAAACTTATCGAAGTTCAGATCTCATTTTCAGACTTTTCACTAAAACCTCAATGACCAAAATTAGAGTTTACTCTTACAAAAAATTATATATGTATATTATTTATTTTAACTAAATCGGTATTTTATAATTTTCTATTTCCTAAAATTTAAAAATTATTATTCTTTGAAAATTGGCATGTAATATTTTGAATATTAAGTCAAAATACAAACACTTGATATGTTTTGAATATTATTACTCAGATATGGTTTTATATTTCTCAATATGTTTTGGTATGTGTGACCTTATATTTTTTTTGGATTAAATGAATTTCTTTTGGTTTTAGATTATTAATTATAATATGATCTTGTGATTTTTTATATTAAATTAAATTCATTTTGATTTTAGTTTTATTAAAAATAGATGAGATTTAAACATGTGTAATTTCTTACATATTTGATTTGAAACAACTTACACAAATAGAAATAAATTATGTTTCTCCATTCCTTGTTGGGATGTGATGACAATGTGATCGTATTCCCAGACAGGGATGGGAATTGAGGTCCCTGCCCCATCCCTATGCCATTCCCATGCCTAGGCATGGTGGTATTATGGGAAAAGAAACAGGGGGATGGTTAGGGTCCAACGAAGACCATGACGTTGGAGGCTGGAGAGGGGGGGGTTTAAGCCGATGATTTGGAAGGGAAGATGATGTCCCTGTGAGATCTCGTCCTTGTGGGATTGTGTGTGGAGGGAAGGGAAGAGGACGATTGTCAATTTGAATATAGTTTATGATTGCTTTTGTGTGTCAATGAAAGGGCTTAATTATGATGGATCTTTCTACACAATTGATTACAAGATAAATAACCTTTTCATGATGCTTGATTCAAATACTTCTTGATCTAGACGGCATTCGATTAATGTCACAAATGCAGCCGTTTTATCAACTACGTTTCATGACGAAAGCGTTGAATTCGACTCTATTTGTTTTCATGGTCATACGCATGACTCAAAATACATACGGCTATTCAGATTTGTAGTATTTGAAAGACTTCAACCTGTGCAGCTACCAAGACTCAGAGGGATTCCTCAAGTAGCTTCTCGGTCAGAGATTTAGAAAGTCCCATAACACCATCAGGAGTTCCAATCTACATTTGAGGGATTGAATGATAACAAAAAAGTTGTATGCTTAATAATGTACATATGCACGTATGTATATGCATGTATGTATGTATGCATGTTAATGGAGATTAACAAAGACTAACCACGGTATCAACAAAGGGAGCTGTTAGTGGATGCTCGAGCATTAGCCCTCCGGCGACGTTTAGTGTTACCCCATCATCTACCTATCATCAAAACAATGAAAAATATGCTCCTATTGGGGAATAAAAGAATTCTCTATAGATGATAATGATATGTGCCCACTAGATTCTTTCTGAACAAGTTTTAAATTTGAAATGTACTTGTATATCGATTGCGAATATTACAAGAACTTATGACGATGATATATGTCTACTAGATTCTCCTATTTTGTGTCATCGATGGCATTTAAGACGCTTAATTAATAATCAAACATTTTCTTTTTATTTATTTGTCTAAATCAAATGTTGCAATTCGTGGAATATAGCGAGAGTATGGAGTAATGTTCACATTACCAGTCTATCAATGACCTCATCAGGTATATCATGGAAATAGACCTGCACCATAACAAGAATAATCTATCAAATTCAATAACAATTGTAAGAGGTTTATGATTTAAAAGTCTGCATTAGTGAAAAGGCTTTTCATGAACTCTAATTAGTGCCCAATGGTCATTCGACTATAGACAGCAAGCGACTTCAACTTTTCTATCGACTTACATATGAAAATGAGAAAAGGTTGTTATTGATCTTTTATCGTTTGTTCACATGATACAACACATTTTTTACATGGGTTTAAACTTTAAAGCCTTCCTCTTAGCCAGCTTTTCAAAACTCTCTTTGTTACGCTTTTCACAAGCTGAGGTCTTAAAGGAAGCAGTTGCTCTACTCTTTGGGTAGAGGTCAGGTCTCAGTACATCTTTCCGTCCCCAAAGCCGACCTCCAGGTGGGATATAATAGGCTCATGTGGTTTTTGAGGCCATACAGTTTTGGACTCTTGGATGCAAATGCAGAATAGAGATGATGAAGTAAAAAGAAGGAATACCTCCGACCTATCCCATCCTCGCTTTTTGATACCTGTTGTAAGGTTAGTTATTACTATAGATCCCACAACAATTGCACAACCACCTGAATATCCTGAAAAGGATGAATAGATAAAAGGTAAACTTTGAGGTTTGAAACACGTCAGATTTTCAGAGTTAAAAGTAGTTGGTAACAAGCAAACCTTTGATGAAATGGCGTGCTTCTTCCTTGCTTGATGGTTTCTCTCGAATCATCCCTTCATACACCACCACCTCAAATTAAATCAGATGAAGGTGAGAAACACTGGCTAAATACCACTATGTTTCATGTGTGTAATCTTGATGAACAACTGAGTGCTTCTTGTTAGGATCGGAAAAAAAAACACACACGAGAAATGATAATCACGGGAAGTGAAAGAAACAAGCACGATATTTATGTGATTCAACAATTTGCCTACATCCTTTCATGTGCTAGGACTTTATTGTATCTCATGAACTCTATAAGTACATCCATAGAAAAAAGATTGCCTCTTTTATATATAGAAAACCAGACAGCACAATGGTAGACAGGAAACCTTGAGGGCAACTCAACTAGCAAATAAGTTGCCAGTTCGAGTCTCCTTACGGCCACTAGGGATTTTTATGGCTGAGATTAGTCGAGTTGCACGTAAGCTGGCCCACACACCCATGGTTATCCAAGAAAAAGAAGACAGAAAATCTTCATCCTGACAGCGTAACCGCTATAATTATTCTGACTGATTTTTTACGAAGTCCAGGTTTAGGGCCAAAGCCACCAGGCCCCAACTTGCCATATGCAAAGCTATAGACCTGTTAACAATAAGAATCGGGCTCCATATCTAACACATCTCTATGACTTTCTAATAACATTAATAAAGCAAATTAGGGTTGTTCTTGAGATTCTGTCAAAACCTTAATGGGGAATCATATTTCTTGTGATGCTCAGCGTGTATTTTATCAACATAAATAAGCTTTGTTTGCAATAATGAAAATATGAGATGGGAATAAGGCATACTGTGTCGGCTGTAATTAGCAGCGTGGGGTGTGCATTTTCCTCCTTATGACCTGTAATTCCAAGCCTTGAAATAATGGCATCAGCCTGATGATCTCGAAATAGGTTAAATTCAGAACATAAAAAAATCATCATGGTAAATCAAATTCGTTAACCAAGTGTCAAACATGATTATTTTGTATTATAATGCTTCAAAATTTGCACTCTACTGACTTCAAACTTAGAATCTCATGGATCCTACTCCTAGTTACAAGTGTTAGTTTTGGCTTTCGTTACTCAAGTTTCATATATGAGTTGCTTACAAGTTTAAAGAAAAACTACTGCCACAGACCAGACGCAAATGCATTAGGAGATGAAGCAAGACTCCTAAAGCATAGCACAGAGACCCAAATGAGTACACTCCATCTGATCCGAAAAAGGAGTCTTACGTTGACTCTTTTGGTCAAGATTACCACCTTCCTATCCCTACCAACATGCTATAAGCCATTCCAATTGCTTTTTATGATAACCTTAAAGCAGGAGGAATTGTTCTCATAGATAACACAAGTATAAAGAAAGGCCAATCCCTCTCAAAAGTAAAAAAGAAAACATACATGGAGAAAAGAACAAGATTCCCTGAACGAGCACAAATCATTATTGCCGGTAATTCGCAGCTAAGGAAAACAAATGACCTAAGAGGGATCATTTTTCATTAAGGAATTAATATATATACAAGGAATGTACCTTTGCCTCAGCTAGAGCAAGTACCAGATCCTCTGGCTTCTTGGTCCTAATACTCTTCTCATCAATGTCTGCAGCCTAAAGCACATGAATAAAATATAAGGAATTTTCTTTGTGACATTGCATGGAAACCCATTAGATTACTCTCTAAAAGCAACCTTAAAAAGAGAAAGGGAGGTTCCAACATATATAAAAAAAATGGTCTTCTAGCAGATGTGGGACTCCAACATTCCCCCTCCAACAGAGGCTAGACGAGGCACATATTTTCCTCGAATGTCAAGTAGAGTAGTAGACCTTGGCTCTGATACCAAGAAAAGGCCCATAGGCTACATAATCATAAAGAAAAGAGCTAAAAGACCTATGATGGTCGGAAGCTATATAAGCCCAAAGCATCATGAAGCAGATGACTTTTGCAGAAAGTGGGAAACTTCTCTTCTTTTAGAAATTTGCTTGGAGTCCACTGAAAGTCGTATATCACTTTCAGATTGAAGTATTTAGACGCTACAATCTAAATCTCAATCGGATAAAATTCAGTGGTTTACCGAACTGAGAATCCAAAATCGTTATGAATCTATGTACCTCTCAAAACGAAAATGACCAATTCAAAAATTGAAATACGGAAACTGTCAAAACGAACAGTTTTTTGAACCCTAAACCGGGTTTTTTAAAAAACCCGGGCCAAAAACCGGGTTTAAAATTTAAAATTCGGATTTTTGATGCATTTTTCACAAAGCAATTTAAAATTCGGATTTCTGATGCATTTGAACCCAGCCAGGGGCTCTGCCCCTTGGACCCCGCCACCGGGGGTGCTGCCCCCGGTCCCCGTCGTTTAGGGGCTTCTCCCCTAAATCAAAACAAACTCAAACAAGTGTGCACTCCGCACCTTCCTTACTTGTTCGATATTTATCATGATGACATTGGTCAACAAATTAATCCCATTACACTTAAATGATATTAGTGATACAAATCACCAACATCTTCTGAGTAGAACACCATGTTGTCCGATGCTCTGAAAGAGCTCTTGACAATAGAAAAGAGATTCCAGCACATAGTAGAGAATAAATGATTGAAGTCTAGCCGATGATGACTCCAACATTCTTAATTTCCAAACATATATATAGATACAAAAAACAGATTATTTCAGGTGTTTCTCCATTCATCTATAAATATAACGATAATGATAATAAAAAATAGGATCTTAACCTTTTTAACTTTCAAGTAAGAACTCGATTGAATTTAAACTCTATAACCAAGCCTACAAATCAAATAATAACGATTTGTAAATACCTAACAAAATCCATATCAATTTTGCTACCCAAAAAGAACCACGGCTTCACATTGAATTGATAAAAGATGTAGCATAAGAATACAGAAAATTTTCATTACTCACCATAACTGTAAAATCATACCCCATCTCCGCTAAGATTTTCCGACGAGCCATTGAAGAAGAACCCAATATTATCTTCGCCTGTTTCGTCTAACAACAAAATCATCGCAACAAATCAAAACAAAAATCCAGGTGTATATGCAAACGCAAACCAAAACTAAGGATTGGTAGTTAGTTAATTTCTGAGTAAGACTTCAAGAGAAGAGAGAGTACAGCAGACCTTGAATTTAGGGTTCGCCATTGATAAATGATATCTCTTCGTTCCCGCAATTCTTTCCCTCCCACCCTCACAATCCAAGGGAAGGATAAAATGTGAAGAGTGGACCCAACTGGCGGCAAAAACTCTTCATCTTTTAGACTGTTCACAAATGGTCCCTTGACTATATCCATCCTTCAAATTTTGTCTTTTATAAACTTTTTTGCATATTTTTGGCTTACAAAGAAGAACTTGGTGGCATTTTAGTACCTGCGGGTTAGGTTCATGTGATACCAAGAATTTTTTTGTGAGACCCGTAAGACCAATTTATATTTATTGATCAACTTTATAAGCTAATAATCTAATGGTTTTAAGTTGCACGGTGACAATTTTGTGATTATTGAGAAGTCTCGTGGCAATTTTGTGATTATGAATGTTCAGATTGTTGATCTAATCCAAAGGTTGAAAATTGGTCTTATGGGTCTCATGAAAAACCCTTGGTCTCACATGATCCCAAGTCTCTCTCTCTCTCTCTCTCTCTCTCTCTCTATATATATATATATATATATATAAAGCATTTAACAAAAACTCTTAAAAACCATTTTTTATGCATGAAGTACTGTTTATTGATGCATATTACTTAAAATTCAAGATAACAAATAAATTGTGTGTAAGTACAACTTATTAAAGCTTCATATTTGTATTCGTGTAACTAATTGCAAATAAATATAGTCAAATAGAAAATAAACATTTCATTTTAAATATAATTAGGATAATTATTGAGTTCTAACAAAATGCTTAATTATTATCCTTATAAAAAATTATATTATTAAATCAAAAATAAATTTCTTCGTTATTAGATCCAATTGAATTAAAGAAATTACACAAAAATAAGAACTTTAAAATAGTTAATTTGATATTAATATTGATATATTTATTTTTGAAATTTTATGATATCTTCAAATTTATATTTTATTCAAAAATAAATACATTATCATTTTCTCAAAAACCATATAAAAACCGTATTATAACATCTATATAGAAGAAATAAAACGAAACATTAAAATCAAGATATACATCGTTGCATTGCGCGAGTATCCTTCTAATATAAATAAATAAATATATATATATATATATATATATATAGAGGAGTAATCATATGAAAACCGCCCTCATTTGTGTAAACCGTGCAAACCACCTTCATCTGTCGATTTCATTGTTTAAACTTATGAAATTTTTTCATGAAATTGTTTAATCTTTTGAAATTGTTTCATATAATACTTTTTTTGATGAAGTTGTTTCATATATGGTTGTGAAATTGTTTCATATAATACTTAATGAAACTGTTTTATGTATTTCTCTAACATTAATGAAACTGTTTCATGTATTTCTCTAACATTAATGAAACTGTTTCATGTATTTCTCTAACATTAATAAAACAGTTTCATGTATTTCTCTAAAATTAAAATAATGAAGATGATAATATATATGATTAACACCCTCCACAATAAAAATGATTAATCAACCTCTCATAATTACAAAAAAATGAACAAAATGAAAAATTATGATTGGTTGAATGCGGTTT